TAAGGGAAGCTTACCTAGCTTGGGACCGTGCTCTGCCATGTCTGTTCCCACGGAGACATTAGCTTTTGTTCCATAGTCCATTCATCAATCAATTTTCACGTTTTTTTAATGTTCATCGAACAAAAGAGTGATGTGAGTACAGCCATTCTTGCACCTAGAATGTTAGCATGTTTCACTCAATTTCGGAATCTCGTGGAAGCTGTCCCTTTGATAAGTATTCGTATCCTAGGTGCATAACGGAAACCAAGTGGTGCGCAATTACCTACCCCCCCCCTCCCCGACCTCCCCCCGTAATTCAATTGTTTTGCTTGGACCATTGCCGGTGCGTGGTGAAAAATTGGCACCTAGTTATTTCTTCCTATCATCCTATCCTGCTCAGATTCCGCATCCACGTTGATGCAAAAATGCTTGCTTGACAATATTGTCAGTCAGACTAGATATTGTTCTGAGTTTGTAAAATGCAGGAAATGCCTTATCATCGCCATACATTTCATTGATGTCGAGAAAGATTTCGTTTCTGGCTCTCGAAATGTGATTCAATTTTGGCGTTCGACGACAATGTGAGGCGCATCTGTGTGCTCTTTCAAATGAAAATGTCTCGCCATAAGTCAACACAATTAGAATAGACCCCAAAGTTGTGAAGGTGCGGAATGCCAATGCAAAACGTTATCATTTACGTCCCAGTAGGTGGGAGGTTTAGTGGTAAGTGGCGCTGCTTACCACGCGCGGTTCAGAGATGGAATCCTGGGTCGTGCCTCGGCCAACCAAGCCTTCCATCCCTCCGGGGTCGGTTAATTGGTACCAGACTTGTCTGGGAGGATAAAAACACTGACTTGTACATCGGCTGGCCCCCGCAAGTCATTGTATAGGCCACATCGCATTCAAACGCCACTACGAATCTGAAGTGAATGCATCGCGCATCCAAGACTGCGATTGATCAACACCGAACAATTTATCCTTTACGATTCCTCTGCTGACATGAATATCCTGGTGCAGATCGGCCAGAAGCGAGGACCATAATTTAGAGTGGTTCCTTCTAGAATATTGAGTGACATTGACTGATAAATTCATAAATGGCGACATGATCATGCTAACAGTTCTGAGAGAAGGTCTCTAGGCAGTTACAAGTCTCTAAAAGTTGAGTGTTTCTGCTTCGATATTCGCATACACCAGTTTCATATTCGGTCTTATTCCTACCGTATGGACAATGGCAACAACCAACATGAACAATTTTGCAGGATGGTGCAACGGAAATTAAGCCAGGACAAGTATGATGCGAAGAAAGATGAGAAACTCGGCATGGTAAGCGTGTTTAACACTATTTATCGACGCTACGTTTCGAACGTTCTTTGCTATGTCCTCTCCAGTGAGTGTGGAATGCTTACATATAATGAAGGGATGGATAAGTGACAGCCCCCTATTTGAATTGGACGGTTTCTAAAGAGCCGTAAAGTAATCAATCTTTGGATGTTTAGGCGGCGTTTACGGCCTGGGATGGGCTTATAGGAACACCTTATAGATGTATGTAACAAATACATTCCTTTCATTGTGAAACGGAAAACATAGCAGTAAATTTACGCGGTTAAATTGAAAATTCATCGAATTTGAAGTTGAGACGATATCCATGTGTTCTACATATTCTGATTTGCATTTTTTGAATAATCAAGTTTGATTCGTGGGAAAAGTCACGCTAATACTGCAACAGCCATGCACGAACATAGTCTAGGAGGAGAGGTAAATTGAAGAAGAATTCAAAGGCAATGTGGGACCAGGTAGTAGTTTTCGTTGTGGGCGGGCAACGGTCGTTTGGCGGACGCCGATCAGGGAGAGACTGCGCCAGTGTTATAATCTATTACACTGCATTACATCTTTTTTGCACTGTTTTCGACCTAAAAATGGTAACTCAGCATGAGGATCTGTCAATTTTCGTTGTCAGG